TCAAAGTAATAAGCAGAACAAGCAAAATCATCACTGTCGAACGCGGAGGAAAACACGAGATTGTAAGCATCGATCGCGTAAAACCAGCTTTCATGGAAATAGAGGTGACTGAATGTTTACCCAAATCAACATCATCTAAAGATTCAAAATCTGGTGATATTCCGTCTAACAAAACAGAAAGAATCACAAGATCAGGCAGACGAGTACATTGGCCACAAAGATTTGTACAGACAATTTATTTCTAATTCATTTCCATACTACCTTATTACGGTACTATTAACTGCATGTAAGATATAAATCTATTCTGTAACTCCTTACAATAACAACCCCATTATTATTCTAATAATTTTTCTGGTTTTATTGTTACATTTTGCACAACTTTCTAAACATTTTGGTTCGTTTCGAAGTTGTTAACATTTTCGCATATATACAGTTATATTATCAAACCTCAAAAACTTAAAATCCTCAATTCGGTTTTCATACCAGAAACTCGTATATATTTCTTCTGTAATTATAATTTACAATATCATTCCGAATACAGGTAAACTTCATTTACCTGCATTCTACGGAGGGGCTATTGTAGTGACCCGTTTTATTACTCATCATCGCAGTATACTTTCACTATGTAATTGGACTTTGATTTGTTTATTACTCTAAATCTTGCATGTTAACAATTGATACTTTTGTACTCGCTCGATTTTTGAATTTTGATTGCTGCAATAATACACTATCGTATTCCTTCGCAAGTGCCTTTTGAATTACGTTGTGGATGTCGAGTAATCGCAACGTTAGGACACAATTATAAACGCGAAGAAGTGCTAAGATATAGTGTAGTCAAAAATATAGCAGCACAACAAATGTACTTCCAATGATGTATTGCCCCCAATTACATTTTATACCATTTTTCAGCTTCTAAGGACATCGTTCTCTTCCTGAAATAACTTTTAATCACGTGGGAGCATAGCACTTACCCAAATACAAGCTGTTCATTGGTTGGTCATAGCTATAAGCAAAAGAGGGAGTGAAGTTTGGGTTGTCGCTCATCTCTTAGTGAAATGTTAACAATTTAAAATTTGTAAGAACCTGTTCTGATTGCATGTACAACGTGCTAATTTACTGTGCTTCGCGATTGTAATTTACAAAACATACTTGGAAAAACGGCATACGAAGTATTTATTGTTATTACGATCAAGCACGACATAAATTGCCATCGTGAAATATGGATGAATTACTGGTTTCAACAGTTTAAAAAGTTGCGATTAGAAAATGTCAATACAACTGATAAATTGTTAAACCGAGAGGGAGTTACCGTACATATATAGATGCATACTTCATATGAGGATAAAACTTGTGCACCGTGGTAGAGTATAATTCTGTTATGGGTTAAATTTATTTTGATAGAGTCTCACAGTGTTATATAGTAATATTTACTGATGACTTTTCGAGCAGATTTTATTGCTCATAATCATATCAAGGGTGTACTTGGTTTCCAACTTCAAAAGTAGGCTATACTACAAGCATCATATGTTATATAGACGACGTTCGAATACAATCGCTTTGGGGGATTTGGAGCTAAGGATTTTCTCGGGTACAGTGACATCCCGAATCGACTTTATGACGTGATGATTCATTCGTGAAGAACGAACCGCATTTAGGGTATTTAATTAGGGACTGGCACAAATTCCATTCACAGTGTGTGTACAGCCTTGTAGGTGTACGACCTACTTGGTCACTGCCTTTTGTTTCAGGGAAGATGCTAAACGAATTCTCCGCTGTTTTACGATCGCCGCCTGGAAATCCATTTTCTACACTTATTGTCGATGGTGTTTTGTTGTCCACAAATGTAAGATCTAGGATCTAGTGAGTCAATATATATGTTGTATTCCCTCCCTATGAAGACGGAATTCAGATTATTATAACTGGGTTACTGAACTGTGTTAAACAAATGGATTGCTTGGGCCTGACAGTGCTATATTCCAAATGGGCTGTCATGATTTCAAAGATTGTAACTGACGTGGAGGCAGATTCATTTATTGTCCTGGAGGACTTAAAGACCAGTTAGGTTGAATTAGAGAATAAATTTTAGCTTTAGACATCTTTTCTAGAGTGGCTTTACTTTCAGTCTGTTGCAGTGTTCAGAGTAGTCAAGACCACATTGTAAGCCAAGAGTTTTGAAGAGATTGCCGTCGTGCTTCCTCTAATTTTAGCTTGTCATTATGTCAGAGTCCGCCATGAATAAACCAGCGGTATTCTAAAGTAGACCGAACGCATACTTAATTGTTTCACTTGCGTGTCAGGACTGGGTTATCATAATCAGCGACGGTTTGCATTTGGAAGCTAATGTACTTAGCGTTAAATATTTGTTTAGAATTGGTGTAATGTCTATCTGGATGATAGACAGACCCTGGCTTCTTGGCTCGAGTGCATGGATCACATATCGAGAATAATGGACAGTTGAGAGGTTGCCATCAATATACTCAACGAAAACAGAAACGATTAACAGCTATTTTCAGTGTTCAGGTTTTAGATGACCTTGACAGACAATGGATTATCTTTTACGAGTTGATCACGGACTGATATCAGTTAGAGAACCATTGAAAACCAGGACAGGAGTACTGGACAGCTGCTGTTTCATCCTAGTTTGGGAATCATCGGCAGTACGCACCCACTGGGATTCGAACCCAGGACCTCCCGATTACAAGGCAAGCTCGTATACCATTCATCCACTGGGACCCGATTCAATGGTTCATGAATTCTAACTTCTACCAATTCGTGATTTAGCGCGACCCCAACTATCGTCGTTGGTGGGACATCCATCCACACACGTGACTTCTAATTGGACCTCACTGGTCACGACTTCTCACTAGAACTCCAGGAAGCTCCGATCTGTAGCAAGTCACTAGCAAGCATCAGAATAATTTTCTAAAGTTTGGTTTGTAAGGATTAGTTATGTTTTACGAGTTGATCACGTACTGATATCAGCTGTCCAGTACTCCCTGGTTTTCAGTGGTTCTCTAACTGATATCAGTCCGTGATTAACTCGTAAAACATAACTAATCCTTACAAACCAAACCATAGAAAATGGATTATCTGATAATTAAAAATATTGGCAGCCGTAGATAGTCTGGCCTTCACAGGGAATGGAAAATACATAGGACGGAATGAATGATGGATGGCTGCAAAATATAGTTAGCCGAAATCGAGACAGAGTTAAGGGTATGTGAGAGGTTTGGTATGGAGAGTAGCCTTTCAATGAACTGGATCATGATGAAGATGACTTGACTCCAGACTTACGCTTTTCCTGTGTAGACTGCCTTAATTGAGAAGATCTCAGAATTGGTCAAGGTGCCAAGATGCTAAAGTGCTTTATATGCCTTGGTCTGCCATTTATAAAGCTCATTCACGATACACTCCAGTGTGTACTGAGGGACAAGCAACGTGATAATGGTGATTCTCAGGTGGAAAAACAATGTATTAATTATGGTTATTCAGGAAGTTAATCGTGATATCTGTAGTGCATTTGATACGTCCGTGAGCAAAACACTAGAAGGAGGAATCCGTACGTATACCTCTCCGGTGAGTGTATATCGAGAAAAAACCTATGCCCAGGGCATATAATCGACTGTCTCAAGACATGTAGCATTGATTCAGTATCAAGGCAGTAGTGAGTCTTCTAGAGTGGTAGCCTAGGAACATAATAATGTGCGCTTATTGGAAGCTCATCAATTTGTACTGTCGTTCTGTTTGGACTTTTCAATTCAGTTTGTGAGAAAATCAAAGAATCCCACAAATGTGCCGGAACAGAGATATCACTAGAGTAAAGACCGTTAAAACCTGAAGAACCAAACGAGACTGTTGACAAGTACGCAGACATGGTTGCAATGACCAAAGAGATTGTTTCTGACTCCAGACTTACTAACAAAAGGCGAAGGTATTTACACCTAAAGAAGACCACGTGGAAAGTTGATAAACTGAATTATTACCGTAGATCAATTACTGAGAAATGTCTGGATTAAGACCATAGACTTTAGCGGACTTATCGTCGCAACTTCTTCTCTAGCATGTGTCTAGAGCTGAAGGCATCCAGCCACTGTATGTTGCACCAGAAATAACCCCTGCCTGGAAACCGAATGTCCTTAATAGTTTAGGAATATTGGTCTCCGGTGAGCAGAGTTTTCCACATAGCTTTTCAGACATTATCCCTCAGGAAACAGTGTACACCGGAAAATTTCCTCATAGCTTGAGTGAAGTGATAAGCGTGTTCTGCAGGCTAAATGAGGAAGACCAGCATAAATCAGGATGACCTACCGCAACGCCTACGCCTATATATGTGGAACTGACTAGAAACCAGTTCAGAGGGATAATCGATTACTTCTGGCAGATCTTCTCAAGAAGCATTAGACGGGTACCGGCTAACGCTCCGAAGGTAACCACATAACCAAGAGGCGAGTCGTAAGACATCTTAGCAACAAGTAACACTGTAGCGTGAATAACTGTTTTTAGAATACTGTCATACAACTAGCTTTCAGCATATTTTTCAACCCAAAATAGATTTTTCAAGATTTGTTTTGCTTTCGTTGTTTGCGTTTCCCAGGTAACCACGGAGGTTATGGAAGTTTCATTACCTTCAGTAGAATAATGAAGTTCTGGACATTGGTATATTTCACCTGAAATATCTCCAATAACAACGGGCTTTAAACAATTACTGAACTATACCCATACTATTTACAAGGGCTCAGAATGTTGCTGAAGCCTTGTGATACTTTTTTACTCCAGACAAAACTTCTATTGAATAGACAGCGCACATTTCTGTTTACACCAATGTGAAGGGTGGCAAATTTTTCCTTAAATGAGTCAAAAATAATTAAGGGAGCACTCTATTAAGAGTCCAAAATACCTAAAACACATATCTGTCTCTGAAATCTGTCAGATATTAACAACAAGCGATGAGCCAATTCTGACCAGTTTTTCACTATTTGGGTTCAGTTTTAATTCGCTGAAAACAAGGTCACAAGGACATCAACCCGCCGCGTCTTCCAAAACTTTGCGTCACAATCCACTTTAATTGGGGTTTTGTGATTGATGACTTGACGGCTTCTACCGCCTTATCAGGATGATATATATTTGAGTTTATAACTGAAGATCCTAGTACAAAAATTGTTTTATCCATTCAAGTCCGAACGTTTTACATAATTTAGGCTAAACAGTTGCACCTCTTAGTTATTCACCCTGTCCTTATTGACAAGTTAGCACTTATTCTGTGGTATTCAAGTGATTGATTGAATAGACTGTATGAAAATTCCCTCCATTCAGTGCTTCGATTCGAATTGAAATGCTGCCCTATTTTGATTACCAGTTCCGTGTCATTATAATTGGTGATAGTATGGTTGGAAAATCCTCCCTGATGAAAAGTTTCGTTGAAGGAAATTTCTCATCAGTATCTGACCCAACTATTGGGGTAGATTTTTTCTCTCGAACTGTACGAATTCAAGAGGAAGTGTTCGTTAAGCTGCAACTATGGGACACTGCGGGTCAGGAGAAATTTAGGTTTGTTTTGAATGCGTTTTTGCCTTATTATTCCAGGTCTATAACCGCGTCCTACTATCGAAATTGTGTTGGAGTCCTTATTGTATTTGATCTGACTGACAGAGAAACATTTGACCATGTTGCTGATTGGTATGAAGAAGCTCGTGGTTCCATCAAGTGCTCTGCTCCTGTATTTATAATAGTTGGTCACAAAGCTGATCGTCGTGACGAGCGACAAGTAAGTTTTATGAGTAAATTGTTTTCATAATGAATATCTTTAGACACAGAGTCTAGTTAATGATTTGATATTTTCGATATTGTGAAAAAGAGGAATTAATATAGCTATTGTCAGTTTTATTGTTGCGCATGAGTTAGGAATTCAAAGACGTTTTTTCAATTATACAGTTGTCGCTTAATACATATTTATATACACTATCCAGCTTATGATTTTGCGGGTTTTTTTAGTGTTTATTTTTTATCTGAGCATTCGAGTAATATCAACGAGTATCTGAAATTCACACATAAATTCTCTTCGTTTCACGGTAGACATCTGATCATTACCACAGGCATCATGTTTTTGGTGCCTACTGTACAAAATAGGGTTGTTTTCTAAGAAGAGCTTCAATTCGCCTTAACTTTTGGGAAAAACAGACGTTGGGGAATAAATTACAGAGGCTATGTAGTAGTACAATGTAACTTTGTTTATTAAAAATTACTTCACTGAGATGTGACCACTGTGGTACACTCCAGTATGCGAAAAGTTTGAAATATTTTAAACCCTGACTTTCAATGTATTGTTTTTACAAATTGGCACCAACTATAGGAACACAGCAAGAGAATTAAAATGATTCTTCAGTATAGAGGAGCATATATTGATTTTTGTAATAGGTTGCTCTGGTATTTCTTGGGTCTATGTTGTATGCATTTATTTAGGTGTTCCTATTTGTATATATTCTTCTTATATCCTTTTTGCCGTACAAATCCTAGCAACTTCGTTTCTATGTTGTTTGTCTAACTTCTCCCTTTGTGCTTTCTTGTTCACACATATACGTATATCTGATAATTAACTTCTGTTTCAGCGTTTCAAACTAACTTTCACTTCAAATGAGAAACTTTCACAATTAGTTCAACAGCATAATAAGTAATATTGTCTATGTGCTGGGTGGATTAATTCGAGTACACCAACTATGACATTCATACTGAGCTTGCATTATCCTTCAAGGAAGGCAATGGCTGGTCGCTCTTGATACGTGTCTCAATCACCTCAGTTTACAGAACTTCACAACTTTGCTGATTGATGTAGGCTTATCTAGTAATATGCTTAATCTGAACGTTAACCATCATTCTGTCCTACGTAATGTTAGCAGTAGATTAAAGATAACTGTGGTCAGAAGACGTAATCGTTTTAATCTTTTGCTTTCGGTGGTCATATATGACAGCTATAGAGTAAGACGGTGAATTACCGCACATTACACATTTCCTTTGATTGATAACCGAATATTTCATTGATTCTGGGATTGATTCAAGTTATTAAATGCCAATGAGTGATTCATATGCTTGCTGAGATTTTATCAGCGCATACTCGATTATGATTAGTACGAGTTTCTAAATTGGAGTTGGAGCTAATGCAAACCAGTCCTATCAAATTATCCTACACTTGACCTCCAGAAGGACGTGGAGAAAGATGAAGTCACTTAAGAAATATAAGGGAATTCTTGAAATCAGCTGGTGCTCGTAGGGCTATAAATAACAAATAAGAAGGTTTTGAGTTTGGTAAAAAATTGGAATAAATGTAAAAAGAACACAGTGGACCAGTCAGCAAATTCACCAATTCGCTTGCCTAATCCTATTTTAAAAATAACTTACTTTTTACTTCATACTTTGATAGGTCAGTAAAATGGAAGCTCAATCTCTTGCCCAACGACTTGGTGATTACACCTATATAGAAACATCTTCACTTACTGGACAAAATATTGAAAGAGCATTTGAACTTCTTGCTGAAGGAATATATGCTAATGTAATAAAAGGGAGTTATAATGAGGTAAATACAAATATATATATTTTTGTTTTCATTTGTCATTATGGTTATACTTATTGCATTTTTGGTAATAACCAGTTAGGATAACTTTATGCATTATTCTTATTCTTCTTTATCATCGTCTATGAATACAAAAATATTAGAATATATTAACACAGTCGTTAGGATTGATATTCCTTATATGATTCTTTTTTATGGTTAAATACAGGTGTACGTTTAGTAGTCTATGCATCAACTAGGCACGCTACTACCTAGCCGTTTTAATTTCAGTGGATTACTAGAAATTCTAACATATGACTCATATTTTTCAGTGTTATTTTGCAGGGATTTAGTGTATTTCAATTGCGACCACGAAATGACTTCAGTTGGCGGGAGTACTAAACGCCTGTTTCGTCCTTTTTGGGGGATCTTCACTAATACTAACTAACCGACGACCCCACTAGGGATTGATTCTCTGCAAACCAACACTTACAAATTAATCTAGTACTCACTAGTGACTTATTGTAGAATAAAATTGCCTGAATTTCGGTGGAGAAGTTATGACCGACGGGGTCCAATAAGTTGTGTGTAGTGACAAATACTCACAGTTGACATTGGTTGGTCATCGCGCTATGTATCACAAATTAACAAGAGTTAGAGTTGTTGATGGGCAGTTGGATTTTGACGTGGTGACTGTGAATGATCAATAGGCCGGCTTTGTAACCTGTAGGTGCCAGATTCGATCTCTAGTAGGTGGGGGTCATGAAGGTTTATACTGTTGAACACTCTAAAACAACAATGAGACAGCTGTTCAGTACCCCCTAATATTCAGTGATTCTCCAACTGGAGTCAGTTTGCCATCAATGTCGAAATCAGTTAAATCCCTTCACTAACCAACACTCAATTTCTATCTGTTGATGAGTTACACAAATCATTTTATTCTCTGTTGGGTCCTTGAACAATCTTATACAATTTATGAATAGTAGAACAAGACATATAAGCGAACAATATTGTTGTTTTTGATTAGATCTTCTTCAGGCTTTACTCTAATTTACATAGATTTATATTTAGAAAATGTAACTAATGACGGTTAGTTTGTGGATTAAACTATAAAAAATAATAATGATAATAATAATGTGTTAAGTGTTTTGGATGTTAGTAATAACGTTGATTATAATGATAACAAACATATTGATAATAAGGTTTATGCAGGTGGTAGTAAAAATAACGAAGGTAGTAATATGTGTATATGTGTAAAACTTGGGCACTGTGGTACTAAGTAATTCGATATTAGTTTGTTTATTAGATGTATCACACAGTGAGTGAAACAGTATTATTTACTGGATGACACAGTTTCGAACAAAATTTATTCCTATTCATAATCATATCAGTTATAATCACACGACTTCGATACTTCAGTTTTATAGTTTTCTTTGTTATCTCCTATTTGTCGTAGGGGTAGTAGAATTATCCAGATATCCAGGTGGACAGGTGTTGAATCATTCATATTAAACGTGTTGGTTTGCAGTTGATTCGATAAACAAAGCCTCTGTTATCAATCTCTCCCTCCACTCTGCTGTTACATTAGATTTTAAAATTGTCATCTTATCCCATCCATCCTATTGTATGGTTGTGTGCAATCGCATGCAGTGTGGTACTATAGCTGAACTATTCTCTATATTTCTTATCTTATTCGGGTCAACTAATCTAGATTTTGCTGCTAGGTTTTTTATGCTCGGCTAGTCTGACTGACTGCCCCTGTTCTACTACTTTGACCTATGTATTTGACCTGACAATCACCACAGGCAGGGTATTAGATAAACTAAATTGTTTTGTTTTAAAGGCTCCACAGGATTGATCCTTTAACCGACAAAGCTTGTCTTTAATTGAGTTTGTGGGTTTGAATGCCACTTTTATTCCTCCCTCTATTGTTAAGAATTCTGCGTGGGGTTTTCGGGGTTCCTTCCTTTTATGGAATTACTACTGATGATTTAGATTCCCTATTGTTGGTGTTGTCTTGCGCATGTTTGACATGCATGTTGTCATTATTATTATTATCACTATCCCTACTATCATTATTTATTTTATTTTTACCTGTGTTTGTGTAGACAATTCAATAAAGAAATAAATTGGTTCAAATCTTGAAAATTACGTAATACTAAAATGAAATGGACAGATAATCAGAGTTTAAATAAAAAGTATCATAAAAGTACGAAGGCAATAGAAAATAAGAAAGGGTGGGATTGTTTCTGATTAGAATTTACCTAAGCCAAGGGAGGGATATAGGTAGAACAAAATTCTTTTGTATGCAAAGACTAGGATTGTTCCCTCTAATTCTCATAGCGTCAGCTATGTGTAAAAGGCGCCTTCGAATTATATTCGAAAGGCTCGATGGAATGCGATAGATAACTTTGAAGGCACTTCTCCTGTCTACTTGGTGACCGCTATCAGCGATCGAATGAGTCAAAATAGGACTTCTTATAGATTTTATTTGGCCTAATCTGAGAAAGAAAAGATGGTCAATAATACGTTTGTTGAGCTGTCTAGTTTTTCGCCCTCAGGAGCCGCTTAACTTATAAGTGTACATAGAAGTGGGACAGCTAAGCAGCTTGTCTTTTTCTTGAGCCATCATAATTGGTCTGCTGATTAATGACAAACAAAGAGTGGCGGCAGTATAAGTCTGTTTTATCGCTCTCGATAATCTCAGATGTAAGACTTCGCTAGCCACATCCCCATTAAATTTCAATTTCATGAACAGTTCTTTCTTTTTAACTGTTGTCAGTTTCTCTTCATTTTACCTGGTGTTCATGTGTCTCCTTAAATGTATCGTAATTATTACTAACGTGGAAAACATTTAACACTTATCATTACCTTCTTATAATTTGATCCACAAACTCTCTGTCATTGGTTTAATGGTTGTTATACATATAAATTTGTGTAAACTAGAGTAAAGCCTGAAGAAGATCTAATTAGAAACAATATTGTTCGCTTATATATATCTTATTCTTATATTAATAATGGGAATATTTAAAGATTTGAACAGTCAGTTTCTCCGTTGTGTGTCACTAGAAGTACATCTTATTATTGGTTGGAAAATGTGGTTCCCAGGCTGAAATGAAAGCATGCAAATACTGCTTTCTGTCATTCATGTATGTTAAGCGGATTGAAGAGTATTACTTCATTTTTAGTATTGATTTCTGATATTTCTTAAAAGATTGTTTTATTTTTCAAATTAATAAATATGTAGGTATTATTCTAGATTATGTACAACTAAGTATCTGATATTCATTGAATGTTATCTGCAAGTTGAAATAAGTATAAAACTTTGGCACTGTGGTAGAGTATAATTCCATTATAGATAAGATTTTATTTTGATAAATCACACAGTGTTCGTTGTACAGTAATATTAACTGATGACCACGTTTCGAGCACAAATTATTGCCGCTCATAAGCATATCAAGGCACTACTCACATAACTTTCTACTTCATTTATATACATCAGTGAAATTGATTAGATACTTGAATAAAAATCAATATGGGATAATGTACGTTCACAAATAATAATATGAGTGTTATTGATCGAATACAATCAGATGGGAAATAAGACGAGTGTTTTTATAGTCATAATAAGTAACTTGTTAGAATGTTATAATGTACGTGAATTGAAATGGAATTTTAAGATTATTTATTATCCTCCTCTGATTTGACTGACTAATGGTAATAATATCTTCCATGCATATCTCTAGTATTTGCATTGAGTCATTCCTGTTGCATGTGTTTGGTATAGAGTCGATGAACCGGGATTCAGTAATCAATCTCCCTCGCTCTTCACCTACCTGTATTACTTTTTAGAATTTTGACTGTGTCCCAGCCTATTGTGTGATTGTGTGTTAATGCACAATCGCTGAGCTTTTTTCTAAATTACACATCTTCTCTGGGTCAACCATTCTTGCCTTAGCCAAATTCTTATGTTCCGACAATCTGACTACTCCTGACCTATGCAGTTGACTTAACTCACAGTCATTGCAGGGTATTTTGTAAATTATATTATATGTCTAATTGGGTCCACTGGGTGCTTTAGCCTACATAGCTTGTCCCTGAGTGAGTTTGTAGGTTTGAATGCCACCCTAATTCCTGCTTTGTTGAGAATCCTACGTAGGGTCTCAGATGTCCCTTCCCCATATGGTAAAGCTGTAAATGCCTTATAAGGTCTCAATGTAAATACCAGAGAAATGGAATATATTATTACCACCAGTCAGTCAAATCAGAGGAGGATAATAAATAATCTTAAAATTCTATTTCAATTCACGTACATCATAACATTCTAACAAGTTACTTATCATGACTATAAAAACACTCGCCTTATTTCCCATCTGATTGTAATTGATCAATAACACTCATATTAGTATTTCTGTGCATCGGTGGCACAGCGGTTAGGACTCCCGCCGACCATGCACATGGTCCGGGGTTCGAGCCCTTCCCGACGCACACCCGATATCAATGATCGGCCTGCGAAATTGGGCTACCGATATCACATGCTGAAAATTCCATACATGTACCAAAAATACGGCGTGGAATCAAGCCATAATCAAAAAATAAAATATATTGATTTTTGATTGCATAGAGGTTTCATCATGAGCTGACATCATTTAGAGAACCGCTGGAAAACAACCACAGGGAATACTAGACAGCTGTCTCGTTAGCCTAGTTTGGGGCTCCTCAGCAGTACGCACCCACTGGGGTCCAAACCCAGAACCTTCTGGTTACAAGTCGAGCTTGTAGACCATTGAGCCACTGAGACTCTATCTAATGGTCCTTGAATTCTAACTTCTTCCAATTCACGACATAGCGCGAGCATTTAGCAATGTCTTCTTCGATGAGTTACTGCCTCATCTTCAACTTGCGGTACCCTACTGGTCACGGCTTCTCACTAGAACCCCAGGTTAACTGCCTGAATAAGGCCAGTCGCTAGTGAGCACTAGATTAATTTTCAAGTATTGGTTTTGCAGGGATTTTGTTTGATTGATTACATGGAGGATTTCATCATGAGCTGACATTTTGTCTGTCAATTATTTTGAATGATGCCTGCGCGTCTA